CTAAAAACGATATAATATATCTAATAAAATACGGCTAAATATTAACCGTATAACGCGGCTTTAAAAGCAAACGCCGAAAACTAACGCTTAAAAAGTATTATTACGTTAAAAACTTCCTATTAAAAATAATTTTTAATAATAAGCTATATAAGGCTAAATTTAAAATTTATAATAATTTTATTAAAACGCCTAATAATAAGATATTAACTATTATTAATATAATTAAAAAAAAGTGGTTTTTATAGCTATATAAGCAAAAAAAATTATTTTATATATAAACTTTAATAGCATTAAACGGATTAATAAAGCCGTTAATTAAATAAACGATTTTATAATATCGTCGATTAGGCCATTTAAATAAAAAACGGCTAATTAAAATAATTAAAGCTATTAAAGGCATTAATTTAAATTTAAATAGCATTTTTATATTAATATGCGATATATACGATAAAATTAAAAGCGTTTGGATCGATTTAGTAGATTTAATGCGTATTCGCGCAGATTTTATAACGACCTTATTATAGGCTAATATTAAGGAGATTAAACCCGTTAATTTAAATAATAATCGTTATTTTATATTAATTAAATGCCGTAAAACTATAAAATTATATTTTATCGATGCTTTATTTAAAAAGATTTTATAAAGCGATTTTTTTAAATATATCGCTTGGTTATAATACGAATTCGGGAAAAAAAGGCGATAAATTAAAATAATTCGCATTAATAAAATTAATAATTTTAGCGGCGGCTTTTTTAATAATTACGTATAATAAAAAAATATCGAATTAATTATATTAATACCGAATAATTAATATTAAAACGGTACCGTTAAGCGCGTAATCGGGGTATTATAAAATAATACGCGCGCTATTTATATTTAAATAAATATTTTTACGGTATTTTAGGATAAAATCTGCAAAATATAAATTATCGTTTTAAACCGTATAATATTTATTAAAAAGGAATTAATTATTTTTTAATAGCGCTAAAAAAATAACTTTTAGCTATAAAATATATTTAATCGCCTATTAATTAAATATTTTAGGATTTTTAAATCGCGTATTTTTATATATATCTTAAAAGAAAATAGGGTATAAGCTAAAAAACTATAGGCAAAGGCGCTAAAGGGCATATTTATAAGTTATATTAAAAAATACCTATATAAGGTATATATATTAAATATAATACGCTTTATTATAATTTTTTATATTATATTTTATAAAAATTTTAATAAAGGCGCTAATTAACCCGATCCGTTAAAAATAATTAAATCACTCCCGTAATACGTTTAAAATAGGCTGCGATATAGGATTTTAAAGCTAATTTATTATATAAAGCCTTATAATCCGAATATAGCTAAAAAATAGGGATAAAAAACGCGGCAACTAAAAGCCGGCTTTTTTTTAAATATATATAGCTATATAATAAAGCATAATTAAATATATTATAGCATATATAAATAATAGTTATAATTATATTATAATATATTAAAGCTTAAATAAATATGCTTATGCATATATAAATATAATTATAAAAAATAATTATTACGCTTTAATTAATTTATAAAACTATAATTAAAATAATAAAAAAAAATTTAAATTTTAAAAATGCGTTATTAATTACGCTAAATAAAGGCTTATATAACTATTTATTATTAGTTAATAATAACTTATTCGAATAAATATAAAACGAATATTTAATATTAATTATTAAATATAACCTTAATTTATTATCGATTAATTAGGTAAAAAATATATAAAAATAGCCTAATTAATAATAAACTATAGCAAAAAAAATTATTAAGCTATTTAAAAAAAAAACGTTTAAATTTTTCGATTATAATAATTTTAAATTAAAATAAAAGCTATTAGTTAAATTTAAATAAATATATAAAACTAAATATAATTTTACCGGTAATATAAATAAATAAAAGGCACGTTTTATAATTTAGGGCTTTATTTAAATTTTTAGAATTAATTATAAGGAAACTTTCGCTAATATAGCTAAATAAATAAATATCCGCGTTTTAATCGCGATAGCTATAATTAAAAGCTAAAAAATCTTTTAAATTAATTTTATTATAGCTTATTTATTAAGCCGGCTTAATAAAAAGATTTATATACGCTAATTTTTATATTTAAATAAATTTATATTTTAATACTTTAATATTATATAATAATATAATTATATTTTTAATAATATAATTAGGCTATTACGCTTTTTATACGGTTTAAAGCAAAATAATTTCGAATAATAATAAAAAATTAGGAAAAAATTAAAAAAGCTAGGCTTTATAAGACTAAAAACTAATAATGCTATTTATTAAAATAAAGCTAATAAAATGGTATTAACCTTTTATATAAATAATTTTATAATTATATATATAAATACTAAAGCTATCGAAAAATTAATTTAATAGCTAAATAAATAGCTAAAATTATAATATTTAAATGCCGCTAAATAATATTTAAAAATACGTATTATTTAAAAGGAAAATAATAGCATTATATTACTATAAAATAGGTATTTAAATTAAATATTTAAAGAATTTAAATACTAAAATATTAAAAGTGCTATTATTCCTATTAATCCGGGATTAATAGTAATAACCTATAAATTTAAAAGCTATATTAATTAGGAATTTAAAAATTAATATTTTAAAAAACTCGGGAAAACGAATTACGCTATAATTAAGCTACGCGCAAATATAATATATGCTAATAAAATATAAACGCGCTTTATAAATAACCCGTTTTTTAATTATATTAAATATTTAAATAAAATGCTATAATACTTTTAAGGCACCCGTATAAAAGGGATAAAATATACCTAATTTTATCGCTATATTAAATATAAGGAATTAAAATTATATATTTACGTTAACGCTGATTTTATAGGCGATAAATTAATTTTTAAATTTACGTTTAAATAAATAACGTTTATAACGGGCTCTTTAATAAGCTAAAATTTAAAGCTATAAAGCGTAATTGCTTAATTTATTATAAAAGCTAAATATTACGCTATTAATAAAGGCGCTCGTAAAGCCGTATTTATTAGGAATTTATTAAAAAAACTAAAAATAATGCTTTAAAAGGCGATTCCTTTATTAATTAATAATATAAACGCAAAAGCGTAGGTAAAAGCCTAAATTAATATATTTACGAAAAAGCACGTTAAAAAGTATTTTTATTATATTTAATAAAAAATCTTTATTAAAAATATTTTAATTAAAAAAATTATATTTACGGAAAACGCCGCTAATAAGCTTATAAAAGCGATACGACCTAAAGACTTTAAGCATTTTATATATTTGCTAAATATAATAAATTATAATTTAATTATAAATATAATTATTATTATTTAATTGCAAATTATACCACAAATTATCGCAATAAGGCTTATCCTTTTATTTCGATTAAATCGCTCGTTATAAAAAACATATAAAACATTAACTTTAACTAAAATAATAGGTATAACTTTCGTTATAACGGATAAAAGCATTAGACCCCGGGACCTCCGGCTTAACGGCTATTTCCGGTAGGCTATAAGAGGCAATTAGGTCTTATGCATTTTATTTAACTAAACCCATATAGCCAGATCCGTTCATTTATACTGAATACACTAAGTCCCCATCAATTTCCCACACCCATTTCCCCAATTGCACCAGAAGCTTTGAAAGAATGGATGACTGCTTCCGTCGAGAGCCGGTTTCGGACTTGCTATCCCAAGAGCTCGCCCGCTGATCGCGCCCACGATTGTCCCATTATCTTCCGCAACTCTCCACAGTCACTGGGATGGTGCCGGAATATCATCCGAATTGTAGATAAGGGCGGCGATAGCACAGATATTCAATAAGAGCTATCGGGCTACCATGCAGGCCATGTGTTTGCGGCGCCATCTCATGTGGCATTTTATAGTATAGACATGAGTTTTTGCCATCTATCGACCCTCGACTGTCCAGCCTGCTCCTCCTGGTAGAGTTGCAGCAGTCCCGTAGCATCTGATCAAGAGTTCGTATACATGGCCATGTCTCACTACTTTGTGCATCCGGCACGCTCCCTTGAATACAGAACTAGCATCGGTATCACGCCCATCTATGCTGGGTAAGGTGTCTCGGGTGTCATCATGTCACCTAGAGCTTGTGGACCTTGTCATGCTTGAGATTTCAGTTAGTCGCCTGCCGGCATTAGTGCTGTATACCTGGCAATTCTCACACGACTTTCATGTCGTGGCCCATCACAATTATTCTCTCATTTTTAAGACTGGACACGCTGTATTACATAATACAAGTAAATATGTCGTACTTTGGTTGTAAACTACATTAACGTTTTTCAAGATTGGCTCAACCCGTTGGCTGCCCATGAATTCTTATCGCAAAGCTACCTAGTCTCGTGGTTACTTCAAGATTATAAGACATGACGGGTGTCATTTGCGCGTTGGGCGGCAACGTTATAGAAAGACACAGAGGAGAAGAAGAAACTCTAATGCATTGAAGAACTCCTAGTATGTTGCACAAGACTACGAAATAACATGAAATAGGCCAGAACACAAAAGCTGACAAATTAACGCATCTCATCAAAATACTCAGAGACATATAAATAACTACTAGTAGTATGAAGTTCACGGCATTGATGCCTGATATAGTCGAGAATCCTGGCCAGTAAGCGGGCTCTGATTGGTAAGGGATAGAGATCGACTCTCAGCATCTGCGAGTCCTTTTGTCTTATCTTTGTCTAGAACAGATCCCCGCCAAGACTATTAGTGGCAGTATTTGCTCATGAAGCTGCATACAACTGTGGGGTATCGTGAGGAGGGGAAAGGGCATCACGCAATTTTTCACTTATCACAAGTTCGCCGATAGAAAAAAAAACAACTCTTTTCGAGTTAATTCCTAGTGTTTTGAGTGTTTTGGGTTGGCCTGCTTGGGGCATGCTTTTTTGTTGGAATTCAGAGGCGTGATTCTTGTCGTATAGCCACTCGTCTCAGCTCTAACCATCGGGATGCCTCGGCTTGAACGATTTGGATTCGTCGGCCCTCTGGCCAGGTTCAAAGCATTGCCTTTACCCGTCGTCAACATCATCGCACTTTTAGTGTTGGTGAACGCCGTCGTATGGGCGGCCGTCGGCGTGGTCCTGCATTACTACCCCAAGATGATCACGCCGGCCGTGCTTTCGTACACGCTGGGCCTGCGGCACGCCCTCGACGCCGACCACATCTCAGCCATTGATCTCATGACGCGGCGCTTGATTGCCTCGGGCCAGCGACCCGTCACCGTTGGCACCTTTTTCAGCCTGGGCCACTCCACCATTGTCATCATCACGTGCATCGTCGTGGCGGCGACCTCGGGGGCGCTGCGCGACCGCTTTGACAATTTCCAGTACATTGGTGGCATCATTGGCACCAGCGTCAGCGCCGCGTTTCTCGTCCTGCTCTCTGTGGGCAACGGCTGGATTCTGTACCGTCTGATTGTGCGGCTGCGCCAGGTTCTGCAACAGCCCGACCCGCACCACGAGGTTGGCGAGGGCGAGAATGAAGATGAGGCGGCGGCAAACCTCCAGCTTGAGGGCGCCGGTTTCATGGCCAATGTGTTCCGCAAAGTCTTTCGTGTCGTGGATCGCCCCTGGAAGATGTATCCGCTGGGCGTCCTCTTTGGCTTGGGTTTTGACACGAGCTCTGAGATTGCTATTCTTGGTATTGCCAGTATCCAAGGTGCTGCCGGAACAAGTCTCTGGATTATCCTGATTTTCCCCATCCTGTTCACATGTAAGTGATAGTCATTTTGCTTCTTTCTAATCGTCTATAGAATCTTTTACTAATTTCATGCAGCCGGCATGTGTCTTTTGGACACTACGGATGGTGCATTGATGATGGCTCTGTACACATCCAAAGCCTTTGCACGGGACACGGTAGCAATCTTGTATTACTCTATCGTTCTGACGGGTATCACTGTTGTCGTTTCGGCCTTTATTGGTATCGTACAGATCCTGTCCCTTGTCCAGAATGTGGCCGAGCCCGAAGGTAGCTTTTGGGATGGTGTCAGTGCCATTGGCGACAACTTTGAAATTATCGGAGGTTGCATCTGCGGGCTTTTCCTAGTCGCCGGAATAGGTTCTGTCATCATCTACAAGCCCTGGCGCCGCAGAATCGAACAGCGCCGTGTCCACCGTGTGGCATCTCATGACGAGGAGGATCGCTTCAGACCAGAGGAGGAGCCAGTCGAAGCAGAACAGCCACAGCTCATTACTGTCGCGTCTACCGAGGACAATGAGCAACCAACAACGTCGCCAAAGCAGCCCATAAGGGAGACACACACTTCATTGGGGCCTAGCTAATCAAACCCTCCGACACGATGGAGTCCCAAAATACAGAGACACATTACTACAGGGAGAGGAGGTCAACATGGCAGCTTCCAGGGGCACATTCCCAGAAATTTACTCGATTTTCTCGACACAGTATAAAGTGCCAAGGTGCGGCTATCATGACGATTTACAGACGCACATTCACTCCCGAAACTTGTAGCCATGTACCATGCAAGAGTTCACTGCATAGGAGACAAGGGTATACACATGTACGACTATATTTAAGTACAATAGAATTAATGTGAGCCGTCTCAATCCAGACCTCGAGATATTGAAAATTCTATATTTTTGATTCGCGATGCGGCTCGCGATCCATCTGCATTTCGGCATCCACTGTAGGCTCTCTGACCCATTCAAGTATACGTTCCCAGATGACATCGCCTTGGTGTTCCAGCTCGAGACTGGCGTCCAGGTCGGCCCAGTTTTTCTCATCCGAGCTGCTGAACCCAAACCAGCGTTGGGAGTCGTGCATTCGGAGCCTGGCCGTCTGGGCGTCCTTTTCTGGGTGTCCCTGGAATGTCAGAATGGTCCTCTGTTGGTTCATGAGAATCTGGTTACCCTCGGCAAGTGCAGAAAAGCCTTGCCCGGGTTCGACGACTTCTCGTCGGTGGTGTTGCTGGATCATGAGGGTGTTACTGCTTTTGGCAACACTTGAGAAGAAGCCAATGCCCTCCTTGGTTAGGTCGACGGCCTTGACGCCCATCTGGGATCGAGGTTAGCCAGTGTCTCTTGGGGTGGGTGAAACAACCACTAGATTTGGATCATACTCACTTCCGGGACGTCCATGTCGGCGATCTTGCCGCCAAACACCCTTGCAATCGTCTGATGTCCCCAACATAATCCTAATATCTTCTGATTTGGATGGCACAGCACCAACCTAAGTAAAAAGTGGTGTATCCTCAAAATCCACATGTGTGACTTGCGCGCATCCACATTAGCACCGCCAAAGACGATGAGGTCAAAAAGAGCCGGGTCCGGCAGGTCGTCGTCGGGCCGGTTGGCGGGCTCAAAAAATGTGAGCCGCGCATCCGGGGCCACGGCACCGATGGCTTTGGTGTATGATGCCTGGATAGCAGGTAGGAATTTTGAGCGGTATGAGTTGAGGAGGATGGCGATGCTCAGGGGTTTTCTGGGCGTTGGCAACATGGTCTTTGCGTCAGACTCTGCAGCAGGATACGAGGACATGATGTAGCGAGTAGAACCAGGTAGCCGACGTCGTTCTGAGAGGTGCATTAGTATAGCTGCGACGTAAGCACCCTTCCGAAGGTCTGTTGAAGACACTTCTGCTCTTTCCAAGAGTGTTGAAGGTGTGTTCGGCCTTGTTAACCTGTATTAAGTGACAGGAAAGACGAAAAGTCCCAGACTTCCAAGTCGTCGTGAAAGCTTCGAAACACGCGACAAGGTTGTCTCGAGCCCAATAATACTATGGGGCACTCTTGGGCCCCAGCAGACGCCGGTCCAATCACCTCAAGGTGTCCAATCTTTTAGGTACAACCTTGAAATATAGCGGCCGCCTTAGGCCAGCGGAAGCGCTATTGACACCCGAGGACACCTAGTCCCCCGGTTCTTCTCCCCACAAAAGAATGTTCTTCCCTTTTCAGCTCATGCATGGCTGTCGTCTGCTCGATTAGGAAACTTTTGGTGGATAATGGAGTCGTGAAATATGGCGGACTACAGCTGAAAAACACTACCAGCAGAATACAACCGTGAACGATGACATCAACCATCCAGAATGCTTTTCCTTTTCTTTTCTTCCCTCCTTTGGCGTGCGGCCTCAACCGGAGCCTGGCCAGAGGAAGGTTTAGTTGTTTTTTTTTTTTTTTTTCCCCTTAATTCGGCGCCTCGCGGCGACTCTGCATTTAGGCATCGACTCTTCTTTAACTGTAATCAGCATTGTGACTGGACGTCCGGATTTTGGCTCTATGATATTAGTGATGGGTATCCAGGTAGATTGCACATGTCGTAAAATCTTTCTCCTTACAAAAGTTCCATATGCCGATAGACTTTAGGTATATAAGTTTCTACAACTCACGCTTGAGAAGCAAGATGAGCCCTGCTTTGTCCTTCTTTATTTGTCTTATTCTTCGTGCCTCCTCATCACTGCATATTACCAAGATATAATGCGTCTCATCACTATACTCGTCGGCGCCCTGGCCGTATGGAGCGCACAGGGACTTCGTATTCTTCACACCAACGATGATGGCTGGGCTGATTTGTCTATCCGACTTTTCTACGATACGATTGTACAGGCTGGGCACGACGCCATACTTTCAGCTCCAGCCATAGATCAGTCAAGCAAAGGTGAGTTCAACTCAACGAGAGCCCGCAAAGCTCGAGACACTGAACCTCCCTGTGTAGGCTCCTTGGATGAAGAGCCCGAGCCCAGGATGACAAGGTGCCAATTTGATACTTGCGATCCTTGTCCGGAGCATCTGCTGTTAGAATGCTCTGATATTGCCTGCAAAAATTGCCCGGAAACGTGTGATGGCTGCTATCATGACTTCAGATACGGTACCAATGTAAGCGACCCGTCTGGGCGGCTCAACTGGGTCAACTCATACCCTGTCACAGCAGCCCGCTACGGTTTGGACCAATTCGCCCCTCGAATATGGCAGAATCAATCGGCTGATCTGGTGCTCGTGGGGCCTAATAACGGTCCCAACGTAGCGTCTCTCACCGAGGTATCTGGCACCGTAGGAGTCGCCCAGTATACTGCTCGGCGTGGCATCCCTACAATTGCCTTTTCGGGTGCGGCTTGGGGCGTTATGCGATACGACAAACCGCCTACATACCGCCACAGTCTCTATAATGATATGGCCTATCAGTTTACCCAGGCCTTGCTAACAGGCGGAAAGCCGTACATGCCGCAAAACACCTTTCTCAATGTGAATTTTCCAAGTAAGAAACCAAAATCATTCCTTTTCCTTCAATGGTCGCTTCTAGACATCAGAGAGACGTGCTTTACAGCAGAGAACTGCCGCTTTGAGTAAATTTGGGACTGACATTATTCCAGATTGGCAAAACAACGACTGCAACGAGACGAGCAAGTGGGAATGGTTCTTGACCCGCCTTGATACGGATAGAGAAGGGAACATGGCCGACTGGGAGTACTGCGGTACGGACCAAAACTTTCTCCAGTTTGACACGCATTGTTCCATCACTATCACTCTGCTCGAGGCAACCAGCAAGAAGAATGCTGGAGTTGAAGAGCAGAGGTTTATGCGTAATAGGTTGAAGAACATGTTAGCATGTCCTCCAAGTTGATTTCTGTTCTGGGCACTTTTGCAGAGTACAGTCATTTAAAATGGGTGTAATGATTGATGTTTTGCCGGAGTTCAAAGACGAGATTTACCTGACTTGATCTATCGTTGTTTATTTGTGCCCCTCACATTTTGATCCGTAAGAAGAAGCATTGATTACTCAAATCATGTATGAATTCATCGATTCTCCTGCTCAAAAAGGTATCGCGATATCTGCCCAACTACCTATTAGCTAGGTACGTATTATGTTGCTGATGCTGTGCTTTTGTAGTATGCAAGCAACATTGAAGTACGACCCACAATTGCCGGGGGATGTCTCGCCTGCAAGGAAGGTCCGATACACCTTTGGATCACCACGCTTCATTCACGCCCATCTGAGACGACGAGTCCAAACGACTGAACACGGTTCCCTCTAATTAGACACCAAGTTAAAAGACAAATCATCACAAACGAATATAATGACAAACAATATGCCTCCTATCCGAGCCCCGGCAAACCTGCCAAGCCTGGTCAAGACGGCATTTGGCCAGGCAAAGGCGACCGGCGACCTGACGTACTTCCCCACACAAGTCGCGCTCCTCAAACTGAACTCTGTCCAGGTAGGTAGCCGCCCACTCCTTCGTATCTCCCAAATCTTGTGTCTTTGTTCATCTTCCCGTCTCCGTCTCATATCTCTCGGAGGGAGTTGCCAGAAGATTCCCCCCTTTCTTCGTTCTGTGAAAGTAAGAAGCAAAATGGATCGCTCAACATGTAGATTTCTCGTTCCTCTTTGCGTAGTTCCAGCTCCGATTCTCGCCCGCCCTAGCCTCCAAGCCGAAAGGCCCTCCTCCGTCCGATGAGCAGGACAAGAAGGATGAAATGAAAAAGGACAAGAAGGCCTTCAACCCGTTCGAAAACCCCCTCCCGTCCATGACCGTGGTAAAGGACCTCGCACCCTCGCACGCCCTCGTCCTCAACAAGTTCGCCATCGTCCCCGAGCACTTTATCCTCATTACGCGGCAGTTCAAGCCCCAGACGCACGTCCTGGAGAGCGACGACTTGGCGGCTGCCCTGGCTTGCGTGCGGGCCTACAAGGAGGATGCTGCTGCTGCTAGTGATGGCGATGGTGTAAGCAAAACGGACAGCAGAAGGAGTGAGCTCTTCGTCTTCTTCAACTCGGGTCCCCACTCAGGCGCCAGTCAGCCGCACCGTCATTTGCAGCTGTTGCCCGTGGAGCAGATGAGGACTGGCTTGGATGGAGATGCTGCTTCGGCGTGGAATGTCTTGGCCGAGGGCTCGGATGATCAGCTGCGCGATTTGCCCTTTGCAATCCTGCGTGAGGCCATTACGCCCGACACCACTGCCGAGGAACTGCACGCCAAGTACGTGAGCCTGTACCGGCGGGCGGCGCGGCTGGCACTCGCGGAAGCGAGCAATGATATCGCGGGCCAAGGCGAGGCCCAGTTCAGCTACAACATGGCCATGACTGACAAGGTTATTGCGCTGTGCCCACGCGCCGTTGAGGGCGCACCGATTGTCACCGGTCGTGACGGCGGCAGAGAGCTTGGGCACGTTGCGCTCAATGGCACGCTCCTGGCTGGCACGGCGCTAGTCAAGACTCAGGAGCTGTACGATGCCATCAAACAGGAACCGGCACTCCTCTTCAACGTACTCGAGAAGATTGGATTCAAGCCCAGAGAGGAGACGGTTCTTGGTAACTTATAGAAATGCTCATGAATGGCCCGGAAAGAGAGTTTGGAAACTTTGAGTTTCTTTTATAGAGAAAAACTATCGAACTGCAAGCTATGGAGGCCTGGCAAACTTTCTCGTGGGTAGACACGAAGATGACAGGAAAACAACAGGTATGCCTCAAACGCCTGGTGAATGCTCTACTAAAAACAGACAACATAGGGGGAAACCAAATCTGCATCCTTCGCGAAAGCTTTAGATCTGTCCTGTCAACAAGATAGAACTCCAATGACAAGTGATGCACTTTCCAATGCAAACACCACAATACAAACAAACCACAAAACAAAACTCGTACTTCCTACACATTGTCTGACTCCACGTCTTCTTCCTTCACATGCTGATGCTGTGGCCAACATCACTTTTCTTCCCTTGCCTCCCAGCGCTTGGAGCAGGCACCGACGCTGAAGTTGTACGACGCACCGTGGGCCTTCAGATAGTTGGCCACCTTTGCCCAGGGAATCTTGGCCGTATTGATGTCTGCTCCCTTGGCATACTTGCGAACGCCTTGGCGTAGCAACTCGTCCTGCAGAATCAACGATTGGTTAGCTTTGTTCCTGCAGTTCGTGGTTGTGCTTCTGTGCAAGGTCCAAGGTATAACACAGCAATGAAAAAAGTGAACTTACATCTCCAGCCTTCCAAGCGGGCTTCCTGACTCGCTCGGCCGGTGCCACCGTGAGCGTGCGGAATCGGCCTCTAAGAGTCGACTCTGCTTCGGTGAACCCACCCTCGCGCTTGATGTCCTTGTATGACATGCCTTCACGCTTCTTCTCGAGGAGAAACTTGTTCTGTTTTTGGCGATGCAACTTTGCCGGGGAGAGCTGGGGCTTTGCAGAACTCGATTGATCTAGCAAGGCGCTTCGTGCTGGCTTGGGCCGAAGCTCAGAGAACTTCTTCGGGCGCTGGGGTATCTGCTGGGTCTTGGCACTTCTGTTACCATCCGAGCTAGAGCTCGATGATGAGCTCTGGTTTGAACCATAGGGCTTGTCGGGAAGCTCGGTACGCCCCTTTGCGTTCACCTTTTTAGTCGGAGCAGGGGACGCATCAAGCTTGATGGTAGAAGATGAGCTGGAAAGCTGCTCATCGTTGCCCGTCATCAGGAGGCTCTGGTCTGGCTCAGGCGGGACTGTAGGAGTGTCAGGCGAGGGGTTTATCTGCAGAGCCTTTGGCGAGACGGTGCCCTCAGGGTAGGATATGTCGAAACCCATTGTCGGGTTGAAAGTCATGGGGTTAATGACTGAATTCAACGTTCCTGTGGCTGGGATGCCGTTGAAAAGTACAGCATCGGGACTGAGCCCATGGTTCATTTGAAAGCCCCCCGCAAGCCCCTGGACTTGGGTGTTGGTAGCCCAGTTGCTTTGCGTGGGGGCTTGGCTCAGGCCAAAACGATGGTTTAGCTGAGCCTGTGTGTTGAAGGGTCCCTGCAAACGAGGCTGTTCGGAAAAGCCTGTGGTCGTTTGGCCCAAGTCAAACGAGGGCATAAAGAAGTCGTTTGCAGACTGGGCCTGGTCCTCCAAGGCGGGCCACATTTGCGGAACCAAGCCATTTCCGACAGCCGCCCTACTGGCATTAAGGAAGTTCTGATTGCTGTTGTGGCTCTGGAATTGGACAGGCCCAAGATTCCGAACTGAGACATTATAGCCGCTCGTTTGTTGGATGCCATTATTCAATGTACCAGCTCCCGGCAGCTCTGACAGGACATCGTTTCCGTACGGGTTCTCAACCTGCAGATGATGATTCACAATTAGTTCACAGCCGGGGACTGGTTTTGTCTCATCTATCGTAAAGGAAATGAAGGAGTTATTGGGCATGGGGGTTGGGTCGTCGAGGGAACTCGTGATGAGACTTACCTTCCATTGATCTTCGTTAACTCCGAAGGCAGCAGGGAAAGTCATTGTCTCTTCCATCTTGACCCGACCTTGCTCTATCTTCTCGTGAACAGGCTCCGAGGGGTGGCTTTGGGGCATTGGCTGCTGCTGGATTGGATTGCGGAAGTCTTGGAATTGTGTCTGCTGATGGCTTTGATCACTGAAGTCTTGGTACAGTGGCTGCTCCTGTTTCTGATCACTGGAGCCTTGGAACAAGAAGGGCTGCTGCTGCTCGACTGGGCCAAAGACGAAGCTGTTAGGAAGTTGAGACAAGTCCGGTCTCCACAAGTATAGGTTGTCTTGCGTAGGCTGTTGATTCAGCTGCAAGTTGGAAAGTTGCTGGGAGATGAGAAGTCCAGTGTTGTTCATGTGCGACAGTACTTCTTGCTGTGGGGGGATTTGATCGCCAGCGTTCTCAGTGGGAAAGGCATCAAACAAGTGTTGATGCTGAGGTTCTAGATGGTCTTGCTGGATTCTTCCCGTCAACTGATCGAAAGTGCGATTATCCTCGTGCTTAACGAGTCTGGCACGACGAGCCGGAGGTTGACTGTCGCCGACGCTGTGGTCGTACTGGGATGGGTGCTCCCGCTTGATATGCATTTTCGCGTGTGAAAGCACTGATGTCTTATGTTATAGATGTCTCTCTGCGATTATGCAGAAACAAGTATACCGCCTGTTCAGGGGTGTGGTCTCTTCCGCTCTCACCCCTCCCTCTCGGCGCGTGTCTATTCCCGTGCCGATGGGTCTTGTCTTACGACAGGTTTGGGAACTAATGCTGGACCAAGCACGGTGTCTCTTGCGATCTCACGCGCTCGCGTACCGTTACTTGCTCACTTACTCTGTGGTTTTGTATCGGGCAAGTTGACTTGGCGTTGATGCCACTGTTGCTAGCCACAAGGTGCAGCTTGTTACTTGTTTCTGCAGAAGTAGTTGCAGATTGCGGGGTCGACAAGGTCGTGATGAAGTGAAAGAGAGTATGAGGAGAGTGAGGTACAGAAAAAGTAGGTACACCTTGTTCACCGCTTCCGTCTTCTGCTGTCTTGCGATGGGAGATGGATGTCAAGCGGCGGTCAGCACTCTGTGTATGCGCGCGCGGTGGCAATCTACCAGTGATGATGATGACAACAAGAGATGATGCTGGATGGATGGATGGATGGAAGCAGGGTGGGGGATGTAAAGTGCGGGCGCCCGAGGTTGGGCTCTGATGAACTGGTTCCCAACTGCAGTCCGCGAGGATGGTTGCAGATGGACGTCAGGAACTAATTCAATGGAGATTGGGAATTGGAATTATTGGTTTTGATGGGTGATGGATGGTCAAGAGATGATGAAGGGATGTTGTTGAAGATGGCTTTGGATCAGTTCGCGATCCGAGCTGGATTCCAGATGATGGTTGAAGTAGGAGTTTGGATCGCGGTCCAGGTTTATTCAAGTCCAGATCCAAGCTTGAAGTAGTGTTCAGATCGCGGGGTTCAAGCTTGGAGTAGGTGGGCTGGTGAGTTGGTGGTTTGGCTTGACAGCTGGTTGCCTGGATAGCTTCAAGTCGCAGTCGTCTTGTTCGGCACTAAGAAACAACAACCAGGTGGGTAACGATTGTTTCGTTGTACTCTTTCCTCCCCCTCTCTCTGCTCGTCAGGCTGGCAGCTAGCTGGTGATGGTCGCTGTGGTGATTTGAAACACTGGCGGGGGACTTTGAACCTCTTTCTTTTTCTTCTTCGCCGTACCTCTGTCGTGAAAACAAATAGTAGATAGACATTAAAAATAAAGCGCGTGAATCTAGATGAACACTCGCCAATTGCTATACAAGTGACTCCCATTCAACTCGTACCACCGAACCAAAGAACAATCGATGAGAATAATCACAAGAGTCACTCGAGACCACATCCGCGACTTTGATAGAAGGCGGACGGTATAACAATGATATCTTATTCTCAACCGTCCTCGATATCTCAATTTTATTTCCGACATCTCCCAAAGCGTATCCTCGTGCAGTGGACCATTGTCTTTTTTCCCTTTCCGTTTCCCGCCCAGAACCTGGGACCAAGAAGAATCATTTCCCCTCTTGGAGCTTCTTGTAGGCCAAATTCGTCAACGAGCATCAAACTAGCATCTTGCCCAGCCTCCCAAATGGGTAGAGATATTTCTGAATTTGGTGGGCTAGAACTGCCTGCCCCCAATATGCTGTGGTTCTCTAATCTTGTCCTCCCGCTTCACCTGAAGATCAAAACACAAGACTGACTGACTGGCTACAACTACCTACTACATACATGTCCCTCCTCAGACCACCCCAGCAAAGTGTTGATATTGATTGCCTCGAACTGACTGGGCATATCCCACTCCATCGCCGGATCCAGCCCATTGCAGTTGAGATTAGGTGACTGGTCACAACAAGGTCAGCATCCAGATCCATTGCCTCTCTCTTAAACCCCCAAGGCCAGACAGAGGAGGGCATGGATTCGATAGAACAAGTCGACCGCCGGATGCTCCATCCGGGACATCCCCCGTCGATATGGTTGGTCCAATCTACCTCATGCATGAATATTTTTTTTATGTCAGCCTAGGTTTTCCTTTTTTTTTTTTTTTTCTTTTTCCT